AGGAGTGTAGCTAAAGGGTCAGACAGTGAGGACCTGGGTTCAATCCCCAGCATGACAAGAGAAAAAGAATAAACAAAGTACAGCATCACCCTGCCTGTTGGCACAGCTACTCAGGAAGGTCAAGGGCCCAGGAGTTCAAGTCTCACATGGGCAAGGTTGCAGCTCATTGGTAAAGGGTTTGCTTAGCATGTCAATGGCCTTGGGTTTAATTACCAGCATTTTTTTAAATTTAATACACAGGCATACACCATTCCTGTAAAACAACACGAATTATACATATACATATACCCATTAATGTGCATAAATAATAATAATAATGCAAATAAATACTGAACATAGATGACCTAAAAGAGAGTAAGTTAATAAAACTTCAGCCAGGCAGTGGTGGTACATGCTTTTAATCCTAGCTCTCGGGAGGCAAAGAGAGGAGGATCTCTGTGAGTCTGAGGCCAGCCTAGTCTACAGCTAGTTCTAAGACACACAGGGCTACACAAAGGAAACCCTGTCTCAAAGAAAAAAAAAAAATTCTTATACTTTTGATTTCCCCCCCCCCCCGCCTTTTTGGGAAGGATGCTTAAAACAGGGTCTCAATAACTGCGTGTAGAAAATAAATTTGCCTATTAATAATCTATGTTAAGGGCTTAATAGACGGCTTAATGCTATACTGCTCCGGTGGAGGACCAGGGTCTGGTTCTTAGCACCCACATCAGGCTTATTAGCTGTTGCAACTTAGCTCCAGAGAATCCAGCACCACTAGCTTCTGTTGGCACCATCTACTCAGTGTTCAAATCCACAGGGACCACAAATATATATAATAAAAATTAAAATATAAAATAAATCTATATTAACTCATCTAAATACTGACAGGTACACACACACCTGTCATATCAACACTTTGGAGGAAGAATCAGGAGGTCATCGTCAGCTGTACAGTGAGTTTTCAGTCAACCTGGGCCTTCTTTCAATTATGAAAATTCTTCTTTTGACTTTAGGTAGCTGGAGAGATGTTTAGTCCCCAGTGGGAAGGAAGAGCACAGGTAAGACTACATGCTTGTGCTTCTATGCTCAGTTCCCAGCATCCACATCATGCAGCTCAAATACCATTAACTCCAGCTCAGGCCTGACACATTTTTTAAAAACTTTTAATATTTTTTAAAAAATATTAAAGAAACCTTAGGTCATTCTCAGTTACATGGAGAGGGAGTTTTGTTTGGATTCTGTTGTTGTCTGACTTGGGTCTTTTGGGTTTTTTGTTAGGGTTTTTGTTGTTGCTTGGTGGGTTTTGTTTGGTTTTTGGTGTTTTGAGATGAAGTCTCACTCTATAGAGACCAGGCTGCCCCAAACTCATGGCAATCCTCCATCCCCAGTGCTGGAATTACAAGCATAAGCTACCATGTCTGACTTTTGTCCTTTTTTCCTTTGTTTTTTTGGAAACAGCTATCCAAGTCACCTTCCAACTCAAAATCCTTTCCACCTCTAGAATGCTAAAACATTCTATGCAATCAAACAGGCCTGTTTCACCATGATAAAAATACCAGCCCTTCATTCCATTCCATTTTGCATTTCTTTTTGTTTCCTATTGCTGCTGCTGCTGCTGCTGCTGCTGCTGCTGCTGCTGCTGCTGCTGGTGTGTGTGTGTGTGTGTGTGTGTGTGTGTGTGTAAGAGAGAGAGAGAGAGAGTGTGTGTGTGTGCGCGCGCAGGCCTGACTCAATGCGAGCAGGGAAGATAGAGAACATCCTGTGCCATCCATTCCCTCCTCCCAACATGTGTCTTCCAAGGGTGGAACTTAGGTTACCAGTCTTGGTGGCAAGCCTGCTTACCCACTGAGCCATCTATCTGACAGGCCCTATATTTAGTTTTCATTTGCTCTTTTCTACCTACTCTTCTCTTCTACTGCTATTACTTTGGGAAAGTTGTGGGCTTTTCTGGGGATTAAACATAGGCCTTATGCTTGTGAAGCACATTCTACAGCACAGAGCTACAGTCCCTGACTTACTGATGGTAAAACCATTCCAGAGTAATTGATGTTAATATCACTGAGTCACCTATTATCCTTTCTTTTAAGATGTTCTCTGTGGATTCCTGTGTCCTTCCTTTAAAGTCCTACACCTGATACTATCATTATTTATGTTTTCATTTCTAATGTCCTCTTTTAACTGCATTATACAGACTTACAAACAAAAACTATTTTCTCAACATGTTGCTTTCTGGATCATTATGATCCAGTATCTGTCAATATACTTACAGCCAGTTCACAACTCTTCCTTTTCTGACAAGTGAACCATCTCTAATCCACAGTGCCCTAACCATATCTAAGCAACTTGACCTTAAAAGGCACCTCACCTAAGTCAAACCAGTTTGAGGCAATTTTGGCCACAAGGTTATAAAATTCAGAATGAGATTTCAGGCTCTCAGGACAGGAAGTACAGGCTGGAGAGACAACTCAGGGATATTGTGGGTGCAGTACCACACATCAGCTCTGACCACCTGAGTTCAGATGCCCAGAACCCACATAAAAGGCAGACTCAGTAGTGCAAGCACCTGTATGCCTAGCAACCCTCTACAAAAATAGTGAACCAGAGTTGGGAATCAGCTCACAGGTCAGCTAGCTTGCTTATACAGAATCAAGAAATTTTCCCTCTCTTTTTTCTTTTATTTTTAGGTTTTTCAGTCAGGGTGTATGCAATCCTGACTATCCTGGAACTTGCTGTATTAACAGACTGGCCTCACAGAGATCTACCCAGCTGCCTCTGCCTCCTGAGTGCTGGGATTAAAGCCATGTGCCATCATGCTCTGCCAAGAACCTGCCTTAAAAGAAGTAGAAAGATGGGACTGACATCCAATGGCTGTCCTCAAAACCACACTCCTTGACACACACACATATTCACACCTCCTTCCATACTTGCTCTCTTACACACACACACACACACACACACACACACACATATTCCTGTTTTTTAAAATATCCAAAAGTGGTTTTTGTTGTTGTTGTTGTTGTTTTTAAAGCCACATGCGACCTAGGTATGGTAGCCCTCGCCAATCTCAACAGTTTGAGCCAAGAGTTTGAAGCAAGGGCTCCACAGTAGGACCTATTTCAAAAAAAGAGATTCGGAGGCCAGACAGATGAAGAGGAGCTGAGATATAGTCAGTCATCTCTCCACAGGAGGAGATGGAAGAAGGGAAAAGCAGCTTAACGGCTGCCCAGACTGCAATTCTAAATACGTTTCTCCCTTAAAACTATAGCTTCCGCATGTACAAAATAAAAACTACCTCAGGAATTCAACAAATAGAGTAGAGTAACTGGAGTCAAACATTTAGTACAGTATCTGGTACATAAACACCTGGAGAAGTACAAACCACTCCGTAGCAGAGACAATTCTCACAAAGATAAAGAATGAAACAGGCACTACAGAGAAATAGCAGGACCAGTTCAAGTTCCCATCTCAATTCAAGTCCTTGATTCAGTGTCCTGTAATAAAACGCACGCCCTGCTTCCACTACACAAGCTTAGACGCCAGCTTCAGTCTCATCATTGTCACTGCAGGATTTAGGAGACTATACTGTTTTTAAATGGATTACCACATCCCACCAATGTAAATAAAAAAAAAAAACATGCTCCCAATATAACTACTGTATTTACCGTGGCATTTTGATCATTCCATAAAATAAAGAAATAGAAACAAACCAAGTGCTATCTGAGGCGTCTCACCACATCCCACCAGGCTTCCCTCTCACTGAGTCTCTGCCTTCCTGGACTGCTGTCTGAGCTCTTCTCATCTTTAACACACTACACCTGCCCCCACCTTGGCCTCCTCACTTCACTAGAGTTGACCCATAATTCAAGCATAGTTTCATTTGAGACCTATCCACACTAAAGATAATATTCAAGAATGAGAAAAAAGTCAAAAAGTAGGCTTTCCATATTTCAAGTCTTAAAAACAACTTTTTTTCCAGACAGGATCTCTTGAAGCCCAGGTTAGTCTCAAACTAGAACTATGTAGCCAAGGAAGACTTAGAACTTCTGACCCATTTTAACACACTGTTGGGGTGGAACTTGCGACCTGCATGCACATTAAGAAAGCATTATACCAGCTAAACTACAATCCTAAAGTCTTGAAATTTGCATGATTGACTTCATCCTCCATTTGCTAATTAACACTACAATAATTAACTGTACTTCTGCTACAATGGATTGTCACACACCATCAACTGAGAATCAGTATAGAAGCTACTGGACAATACTGTCTATACACCCAGAATCACTGAAGGCAAAATTAAAACTTCTACTTCTGCTATATGCCTAGTAAAGAGAAATTGAAATGTCTGTTTTCTGATTTCAGGCCAGACTCTCTAGTCAACACTATCATACCAAGATCGGATATTCTTTTGTATAACTAATAGAAATTGCATCTTTCTACTGGTATTTCCACTAAGCTTAATTGGTGGAGGGGTGGGGGGGGAACAAAAACAAAAACTCTTGCAACCAAAAAATGAACCTCCTTTATTTCACAAAAAGTTACCAAAGTACTAAAAGGTGACCAGTTGAGTTAAAGTTTCTTGTAGCTTTGTCAAAAAAATGTTAGGACATTTGAAAATGGAGAATATTCAAACCACAGCATAGATATAGTAATAAAAATGACTATCTATACCCCTAAAGTTTTTTTCCCACACTTACTAAACCTAGAAGAAATACCAGCTACACAGCTCTAGTAGAGACCCTGGGTACAGTGCTGAAGACATAATTCAGTGGTATAATGTTTGTCTAGTATACACAGGGACCTGAGCTCAACCCTCAGCTCAGAAATTAAATAAAAATCGAATATAATTTCCTATGTCTAGTTTTCAAAGTACCCACACACACATACATATACACAAACACACACACACACACTTGTTTTTCAATTTTTACAAAATCAGTTTAAAACTTGAAGTCAGTATTTAATACTTGGCATCCTAAACTACTTAAGAATTTTAGTATTTTTTGATAAACAGTCCTTACCACTCTGGCTGCTCTCTCCTGAGATTCACATTTCCTACAAAACCATGGTCCAGTAGGTACTTGAACAATGCCATAGCAAGCTGTTGGGAAACAAAAAATATGTTTAAATCTGAAAACAAAATATTTATATTTGAAAACTAAGGCAAAACAATCTTTATAAACATATCAACTACCTCTCACTTTTCAACAACTTGACTTAAGAAATTATTTTATTTTGATCCCAGCACTTGGGAGGCAGAGACAGGCGGATTTCTGAGTTTGAGGCCAGCCTGGTCTACAGAGTGAGTTCCAGGACAGCCAGAACTACCAAAAAAAAAATAAATAAATAAATAAATTATGTTTAGTAGTTACTTAAAATTTACAGTAAAATTATAATATAATAAATGTAACAAAATTTTAACATTCAACCTTCCCAGCACTTGGAAGGCAGAGGCAGATAGATTAGATGTCTCTGAGTTTGAAGCCAGCCTGATCTACAGAATGAGTTCCAGGGCAGACAAGGATACAGAGAAACCCTGTCTCAAAAATAAACAAACAAATAAAAATAAAATTCAGCCTTTTGGGTTATTTCTGCTAAAGTCCAAAGTGTTTAGTGTGGTAGCACAGACCTGTAACCACAAAACTCTACAGGCGAAAGCAAAATGACCATGAGTTTTAAGTCACCATGAACTGTACAGAAACTGTCTTCGGGCTGCAGAGATGGCTCAGCGGTAAAGCTTAACACAAGTTATGGACAGAATAAATCAGAAAACCATTAATTCATTCTTTTCCCTATAGGCTAAGTACCAACTGTTTTCTGTTGCTTTGAGATAGGACTGATTTCACTGACAGCCTGTCTTAGCCTGATTTTCCTGTCTTAGCCTCTTAAAAGTGCTGGGACTACAAGCACACAAATGAACAACAAAAACAAATTAAAAACAAAAATAAAATGATCAATAGACAAAACAAAATATGCTAAAGTGAAATACTTTGTGGGTTGTGGGTTGCTAGGGTGTAACTTAGCAGGTAAAATACAGCATGCAAAGCATGCATGAAGCCCTGTGTCATCTCCAGCACCACATAAACCCAGGCCTGTTGGAGCAAGCCTATAATGCAAGCACTCAGGAAATGGAGGTAGGAGGATCACAAGTTGAAGGTCAACCACCACCACATAGCAATTCAAAGCCAGCCCAGGCTACCTGATACTGTATCAAGAGAATAAAGTGATAGTTCAGGACAGATCACAACCATGTTCAAGGACTGGAGTCTAATCCCCACCAAAAAAAAAAAAAAAAAAGTGAACTATCCAAAAAGGCAAATCAATAGACAAAGTTGTGGTTATCTAGATATGTGGGAACTAGGGAGAAACAGGAAGTGACCTCTAATGGATCCAAGTTTTTTATTAGGGTGATGAAAAGGATCTAAAACAGACTGTGATAATGTTTGTACAACTCTGTGACAATACCAGAAACCACTGGATTATATACTCCAAACAGATGAACTGCATAGTATGTAATTCTATCTTAATACAGCTATTAAAAAGAAAACTATACATATACATAAAATGTACACTGGGCAGTGGTGGCGCACACCTTTAATCCCAGCACTTGGGAGGCAGAGGCAGATTTCTGAATTCGAGGCCAACCTGGTCTACAGAGTGAGTTCCAGGACAGCCAGGGCTACACAGGAAACCCTGTCTCGAAAAACCAAAGTGCATATCCACCAAGTATTCTCAGTCTCACATACCCAATTCACAGCTTCATTTTTAACAAAATTATTGTATTACATTATTTATTGTGTATGTAAGTTTCTACCATATACACATGTGGAAATCCACTTTCAGGAGTCTCTTCCTTCCCTCCACTCTGTAGTTCCAAAGCCTGATCTCAAGTCATTAGGCTTGGCAACAGCAACTTAACTATCTCACCAGCCCAACCTCGGTTTGTCTTTTTAAGCTGGGCATGGTAGCACACAATGTAATCCCAGCACTCAGGAAGTTGAAAGAGGCCAGGCTGGGTCACAGTGAGACCCTGTCTATAAAATCTGAAGGATAAGGCTACTGCAGCAGCTCAATGGTAAAATATCTGTCTAACAGGCACAACATCCTGAGTTTGATCCTCAGCATAAAAATGTGAGGAAAGAAAAGGTCTCATTTGATGTTTTGTTAAGCAACTTCAAAAAACAAAAAAAAAAAGTTTTAGCTGAGCAGTAGTGGCATAACCTTTAATCCTAACACTCTCAGATGTAGGTGGCCAGCCTGGTCTACAGAGAATGCCAGGACAACCAGAGCTGCACAGAGAAACCCTACTTCAAGAACTAAAATCAAACCAATTTGTCCCATGTCTCCTGTGCACGTTGTGTGGGCGACTGTGTGCCACAGTGAGCAGCAGAGGTCAGAGGACAACTTTCAGCAGTCCTCTCCTTCCACCGTGACTCTCAGCAATCTAACTGGGCAGGTGTGGCGGCACGTGCCTTTTACCCACTTTGCCACCTCACTAGCTGCAAAAGTTGGTTTTAATGTTCATGTTTAATTTGCTGAGATTTTCATTTTTTGAGAATTTATAAACACATTCAATTCTATTTTGCTCAGAAAAAAACTTGGAAATGTCATAAAATGATGGGAAACAAAATAAAATCAACAGAACTCTTAAATACCCAAAGCTAAACTTTTGTTTTATTGTTGGATCAAGAGTGTCACATAGCACAGGTTGGCCTCAAACTTGCTATGCAACCCCTGGAAGGGACTTGAGGTGTTCACCCTACAGAATACTGGGATTACAGGCATGTGCCATCATGCCAGGTTTAGTTCAAGATAAAGTTTACACCAGGGCTTTGTGTGTGCTACCAACCTGCTTCAATTGAACTATATACTTAATGGGTCTTTAATTTGTAGTCCAGGCTGGCCTCAAACTCAAAAGAATCCTCCTGCCTGACCCAAGAGTTGTAATTACAGGCATAAGCCACCATGCCTAAGCTAATCTCTTTTAAACCTGTGTTAAGTATGTCTAAGTAAAAATATCCTATCAGTCAAAAAACAGCATCAGTGACTTGGGGGGAGGGAGGGGTAGTAACACATCTGCAATCCTAGCACTTGGGAGGCAGAAAGATCTAGAGTTCAAGGCCTGCCTCATCAAGATTCCCAACTGTGACACCGGGCTATATGAGATCCTGTATCAAAAAAGAAAGAAAGAGAGAGAGAGAGAGAGAGAGAGAGAGAGAGAGAGAGAGAGAGAGAGAGAAGAAAGAAACAGCATAGAGTCCAAAACCACTTTTATTTGGAAGCACCTCTAAAAGGCAAAAGTTAATATTTAGCTGTACATTTTCTGTATTGACAAGGACATATTTCATAACAAAAATCAATTACCATCCAATTCATGAGCTATGCCTTGGCCTAAGACAGAAAAGCAGAGGGAAAAGGTACTGGGAAAATATATTTAAATAAAGTATAATAGGATATATGTATGAGAATGTCATAACCACCATTATTTGGTATCCCAACTAAAGACCATAATATACACACACAATTCAAACTAACAGAAATTATGTAAAATGTACTAACATACATCTTCACTCCTTTCTGCACTTATCTTAGCAAAGACTGGGAATTAGCATCAATGATAATATGTAACTTTCTCCTTTAAAAGAAACCAGGAATAACCAAACATTCCTGTTAAGTTACAGTCTCAATATTATCATCATTTACCTAAATGTCCTAACTGGACATTCTGTCCTAATAGAATTCTTTAAAGAATGAGCTTTGGAGGCCAGGCTCTGGCTCAGTTAGTGCTTGCCTAGCCTCAGCACAGTATAGCCCAGGAATAGTGCATACCTGAAACTCCAGCACTTCGAAGGTGAAACTTGAGTGCTGGGAGTTCAGGGTCACCCTGGGCTAACTGAAACCCTTTCAAAAATTCCAGGAATGGTAGTACATGGTTTAACCCCATCACCTTGGAGGCAGAAGCAGGCAGACCTCTGAGTCTGTGCCCAGCCTAGTCTACATAATTGAGTTCCAGATCAGAAAGAGCTGATAATGGAACCCTGACTAAAAAAAAAAAAAAAAAAGCAAAACTGTTTACCTCCCTCTGCTTTGGTAGGACCCTCCTCACACCTACAATTCCCATACTTGAGAGGCAGGATTATTGGGGTTGTGTATCTGCATCCTGCCTGGGCTACATAGCAAGATCCTATGCAAAAAACCATCCCAGGTAGTACACACCTTTAATCGAAACACTCCAGAGGTAGAGGCAGAGGCAGGAGGATCTCTGATTTCGAGGCCAGAATGGGCTACAGAGCCAAATTCTAGGACAGCCAAGGCTACAGAGAAAACCCTGTCAAACAAACAAACAAACAAACAAAAACTCAGTTTTAGCTTCAGGGATGGGAAGGGTGGGACTGCTGAAGACCACACAGTCAGTCACCAAACATGTTGCCTAGTCTTTCGTCCTGGATCTCCTAACAACTTGAAATGGACAGTGAGAAACTTCAATAACCAGACAAACATCCTAAAGAATCCCCAGCTTTTTCGGGGGAGGGAGTGAAGGGGGGTACCCAAAACATTCACCCAATGATAACATCCAAAACTAAAGTAAAGTAAACCTCCCAAGTCTCTTGGGGCACCACCACCGCCACCACTTCTTAAGAGTCCTACAGGCTGTGCTGCAGCCATGACCAGCTTTCCTCCATCAGCTCAGACTCCATCGGCTCGGCCCAGACAACCCCTCAGGGACACCTTCCACTGTCTTCGCAGAAGCACCCAGTGGCCACAGAGCTCGGGGTGCAGCAGGCAGGGCCCACCTTCCCTCTCTCCCTAACTCTTAAGAGGCAGGTTGTCCCACAGCACAGGAAGTCTCCTCCTGACACGCTGCGGCAGACAGGAGCTGGCAGGGGAGAGGGAGGAGGCCTCCGGTTCTCAAAGCCACCCCGCCGTCACGGTGACTCCGGCGCGGAGTCACACGCTCCCACCCTACCCTGGCGCAGGACGCGGCTGCCGCAGGCTCCGCGGACCGGGCCCGGACACGGGCGGCCACCAAATGACACTTGAGTGAGCGCGGAATCACATGACAGCCCGGGCCACACGCACTTTCTCCCACAGGCCGAGGCACGGCCCGCGCCCGCGGCGACCACGCCGGGCTCCCGCGGCCTGCGCACGGGGCGGGGCGGGGCGGCAGGCGGGCCGGGGGAGGGGCGGCGGTGGCAGTTGCCGCCGGGGGAGGGGGGGGGGCGGTGACGGTTGGGAGCAGGCCGGTTCGGCCCGGCGGGCGGTTGGGTGTTTACCTTGATGCACCGCGACGCTGCAGCCGTGCCCGTCGCAATAAACCAGAGGGTTCTCGGCCCAGCCTCTCTCGTCTGAGCAAACGCAACAGCCTCCAATCATTTCCTTCATACTATGGGAGACCTCGTCCTCCAGTGACACGGGCCGGTCGCTAGAGACCATCTAAGAGGGAGTTGGGGGGGACCATTAACAAACACAAGCAAGCCACCGAGAGCTCCCCACACGCAGCCCGCCCGCCCGCCCGCCCCCCCGCCCGATCGACCCCGGCCCGGCCCCCGCCCGCCAGCCCGCCCGCCCGCTCGGCCGCTCGCTCACTCGGGCTTTGCCGCTCAGTCACTCACGTTCCGCACAGGACTCAGGAGCCATGTCCTTGCTGAATCCCCCCACCTCCCCGCCACCGCCTCCTCCTCCTCCTCCTCCTCCTCCTCCTCCGCGGCGTCCTCCCTCCCCACCTCCACCCGGCCGCTAACGCCGCCGCCCGAGGAGGGCACACATAATCAAGCAGGCCTCCGCACAGGCGCACTGGGGGGCTCCCGCTGGGCCCGGGGCGGCGAGGGAGGGGAAGGGGCTGCGCTTCCTCCTCCGAGCGAGCGTCACCCGGCGTACGCGTCGGCCCGCCCTGCGGCCGGCGTGAGGGAGGCGGCCCGGAGAGGCGAGGCCTGCGTGCGCGCCGCCGCGTCCCCTGGCCCCTGCCTACCTCCAGGCTTTCCCCTCCCCCGCACCGCTCGGCAGCGCCGAGGTGTGCGGAGGTGGGGGACGAGCGGAGCCGGCTGCTCAGCGCGGCCGGAGTGAGTCTACCGGAGGGCTCTGGGGCGCGCCAGGGCCGGGACGTTGGGCGGCCCTCGCGTCGTGGGCGCGGGGAGCGCATGAGGAAGAGGCCGCGGTGGGGTGGGGTGGGGTGGGGGCCGGCGGCGCCCCCGGGGCGGCTCGTGGCGCTGGGAACCTACCTGAAGGCCTGTGCCTCGAGAACTGGCCCGCGGGTAACAATGGTTGGGAGAGGGTGCCAGCTTCCATGAAGGGTGTAATGAAGCATGGCTTCCTGCAGTTGGCCGCGCTAACTTCACAGTACTGTCGCAGCTTCGCCACCCATTAAATTCACGTCCTGGATTCTTCCCAAAGTTCACCCGGTGGAAGTGTTACCAGATCTACCGCCCACTTAACGCACCATCTTGGCCCCCGTGGCAAATGAAAGTGCACCACAGACAGGCAAAAAGCCTGTGTTTGGGCTATATTCTGAGCGGAAGCCCCAAGACTGCACTGTAGCTTGGTAGGTATACAAATGGTTGGTGGCATTAGCAACGTGATCTGGAAAAATGCAGCTGTAAGACGAAGGAACCCACGTTCTAGCCTGTCACCAAAGGATAACAGCATAAGAGTGTGGTGCCCAGTTTTGATTGAGGATTCCTCTGATCTAGCTCGATTTTCCAAATTTACCTTCCCAAATGTGAACTTAAATTGGAAAAATATGGGAGCTTCCTCCCATGCACAAATAGAATATAGATTAGATTAGACCAATGTGAACAGGTTAACTGGCTAGATACTGAAGTAGTTTTTAAGCTACCAAAAAAAAAAAAAAAAAACCCAACTGTTTCCCTAATCCTTTCTCCATGTACACTCAATATTGATTTTAAGCAAAAAGTGTTCATTCACTAAACTTTAGCATGAAATAGGAATTATGGATAGATTGTTTAAATGACAAACAGTTCCAAGGCAACTTCATGGCTTTTGGTTAATTACAAGTACAAAGGGGCTTATTAGAAATTAACAATATAATATGGTCTGGAAAATGCACTTACACGATGCGAAAATGCCCCAAGTTCTAAGCACTTCCCAGAAAATATATTAACTTTAAAAATGTTCAAAAAAGGTAATGGGGCTGTTCTTTTTCTATTTCAAAATAATTGCTAAAAGTATAAGAATAGTAATAGATACAGCACAATGCAAGCATCAGTAGGCAGATATATTCAAAAGCTCTGTGAGATCCAAACTAATGGGAAATTTACCAAAGCTTGTGATAGATAGTGTACTCTAAAGACACAAAACTGAAGATTCGCTTTTAATATTAATACATTTAGAAGTGGTGACTACAGATTAGTAAAATGACATTTTTAGGATATGGTAATAAATTTCTGGACCTATAATGATGCTCTTAACATAACTATGATGTGTACAAAGCTAGGGCAGCATTCAAACAGAAGTATACTGTTTTAAATGTACCAAGTATTTTTACCTTTACCCTTATACAAAGAAGATCAGTTCATTGTCTAATTCCTGTTCTGCCTCATAATGTAGACTAATTTTGGTGCAAATCAGTGTGGAACTTCCCAAACACTGAAATCAAGCCTTAATACACTGAATAATTTAAAAATACATTGATTTTATTTTTAATGCATTGGAGCTTAGTTCTTTTGATGGAACTAATTTGTATGAAAAGAAGGCTAAGTATCTTACCTCATTCTGTAATACCTAATAAATGTAGGTAAATACTTGCTCTTTTCAAGACAAAAGCAAAAAAAAAAAACCCTGTCATTTATATGAAGTTTTGACATTTACAAAAAAGAAATGGAAAAATGTGTTTAAAAAATGGAAAGATGCACAGTTCTATTCCAGGTTTATATATAAATAATAGTATCTGAAGCAGAAATTTTGTGAAAGATGTATACATGCACACATGTTGACACACTAGAATTCCAATTATTTAAAACTGACTTTTAACATTCTATAATGGTGAGTCATGAAAATAAGGAAAAACACTGGGAATTATATGGCATTTGGTTTTTACTCAAGTACCAGATATTGTTATATGTACAATATTTGATATATTTCTATAATAATATATCAAGTACAAAGGAAGAATAGCAGACAGAATAAAGCAGCTCAAATATGCAGTGAATTATTCACTTAGCAAATATTTACTGAACACTCATTGTGTACCAGAAACTCCTGGAATATAGCAGAAACACAACTGTATTGGTCCTTTATGAGTGATGTAGAGTCTCATACTGCAGACACATGTAATAAAAACATTTAGCTAAATATGCTAATCCTCAAGTCTCAGAATGGGTATAACTTGGAATTGCCATAATTGCTAAAGTTCAAGTACATTTATAAAAAATAGTGATACAAATTAAATTGCCATGTGACTGACAGAATATCTTTCTAGAAAAGAACTTCAATATTAATGTTATCATTTAAATCCAATTCCATATTCCCCAAATATGCACATACATCTTGTACCTGTAGGAAAGAACGAAAAGCCTATTGTCTGGAATATTCCTCACATAATAGTGTCTAACATGGTACTGGCTCATCTATTTTCTCTAAACTAATCATCTGAGGCAAACCACAAAAAACTCAAGTAAAGTATTTTATGATGTAACCTCTAACCCTACCATAATGGGAAAATGTATTTTCACTCCATGGTAATATATCTTCTTACAATTTTCTTTAGTCTCAAACCTAGACACCAACTTTTCAAATTTTCCTTTTCATAATCATTTACCTAAGTAGATTCTATTAAAGAAATATTTAAAGTTGTACTTGGTTCCTAGGTTATCCTTATTCATATTTGTGTCCTTTTTAAACTACAGTTTTATTGCCTTCTGTCTATTAGAACTATTATTCTAAGATTATTTTCTGTAATAAGGCATAAAAACGAAGGCATATTTTTATACTATTGGGAATATTTTTATAGTAGTAACACTATACTTTCCGTGGCTGGCTTCTTCACTTTGTTATATTGTCCTTACAAATAAATTAGCTGGACAACTGAAAAAAAAAATAGTAATCCAATTTCTTATGATCCACATACACTTGCAGATAAAATTTGAGTAAAAAGTTATTTTATTCATTTGATACCTAAACTTTTACCTTTCTTGTGAAAAGTTTTATCAAATATATATATACATACATATATATGTATATATATATAAATAAGTATATATATATTCATATGTATATATACATATGTGTATGTGTATATATACTGTTTTAATTAAAATAAGTTTTGAAACTTTTTGTTTTTTACAGTAAGTAGCTCTTATGTCTTTGTAGATGCATACCCTAGACATGGCACCCATATGTATCATATATTCAAATTTTATTAAAGGATATTCTCTTTAATTATATTTTCAATTGAAATTCTGTTAATGACTTTTGCAAGGTTCCACTTAATGAGCCATGGTAGTCTTCCTTGATAATTTTTTTTTGTTTCATCTTAGTTCTTACCAAGTGCCTAGCAAGTACCCTGGAAGTAGTAAGACTACAGAAACATTTGTCTAACATTCAACACTGGTGTTGAAAAAGATGAGTGAAGTCTGAAATGTATTCTTGAGAATAAAGCAAATCTTTATTTTGCATATACAATCAAAGTTAAATTTCTAATGATTAACAAATTTTTCCAAGTCAGTATCTTCAAAGATTTCTGATAGTTAAAATTAATATACTAGACATGAAAATGGGCGTTTTAAATTTTTTATTAGTATATATTGTACAAGATAATGAGTTTCATTATGGTATATTCGTGCATTTATATGCTTTCATCATATTTACTCCCTTTACCTTCTCTAGTCCCCTCCACTCCTCCCCCTCCCCTCCCCTGGTCATCTTCCTCTTACCAAACAGTCCCTTTCTGTTTTCCTGTCCTTTTTGTTTTTTAATCTAGATATCAATCTAGATTTTAATCAGAATATCAAGGAAAAGATGCACTTTTTCTCTTTCTGAGCCTGTTAGAGTCTGTATTTACTAAATGACTTAAAATTGTCTCCATTTGAATATCCACCTTTTCACATAAAAGTCACAACTGTATTTGCAGAAGTCTCTTAGAATCAATTATAACTAATATTATTTTTAGATGTATGTAACTTTTGGAAAGAGAGGTGATTCTCAAATTTAAATCTAGTTATCTAAATCTTAAATATTTTCAAAGACCAAAATCAAGCATCTTTAAGAGTTTGCCTTACTTAACCTTGTGTTTGGCTTCAGAGCTGTTTCTTTTACTAAAAAATAAATATTAATAAAAAATGTAATACCCTTACATTTTTACATTTTGGGAGATAAAGGACCACATAATTTCCAGTGGGGGAAAAACTATTTCTAGAATGCCTTTAGATTTTGTGGATGTTACATAGCCTTACACTTGCAGAGCTGTACTTTTTCCTGTGATGCAACATTTGAGACTGACTTTTCAGGGTGCCATCAATGTAATGTAGGGTCCATTTCCCATTTTTTTACTGACATTGAACATTTGCATCTCAGTTATAATTAAAATGATTAAAGTGACATATTCTGCTGTCAGTTTATAGGACACAATAAGATTATGTAATTGAAAGATTTTCAACATGTAAAGAGGAAAATCAGTTTTGGAAATGGAAGAGTCCTTAAAGAAATGAGACATATCTGCAACTGAAAACAGAGAAAAGAAAAGAAAGAGAAGAAAAGAACAAATTAAGCTGAATTGCTAAATAGTATTTGGACCAAAGAAGGTCACTTTTTAAGATTTAAATGTTTTCCTCTGTGAAAGGGGCCACTGCTTCCCAAATCCAGAAACAAGCCCAGGAATATGTTAATTAAGTGCATTGTGTCCCAGAAAGAATGAGTTTGACAAATTCATTTTTATTCCTTCAATTAATAAACTGTTTGTCTAGCCATCTAAGATTTTTAAAATCAATAA